GCCTTCCAAGTGCTGGGATTAGAGGTGTGTGCCACCACGCCCGGCTAGACAGGGTCTTGATAAGTAGTTCAGGCTGGTGATTCTCCTGCCTCAGCCTCCTCAGTGCTGCAATCACAGGTGTGCAACCCCACACCCAGCTCAGTAAGCAATTTTAATATATACTATTTGCCAAACTTTGTATAACCACTAAACCACAGATACCTGTAATGCTCCTGCTTGAAATAAACTCATTTTCTAATATGGAGAGTAGATGTTCGATAATGGTCAAATATTGCTCTTTCATAGACAATCATAAAATACGATAGGGATATGTTCAACCCAGAGGCGGTTAAAAGAGCGTGGAGGAGGATCAACTGACCAAGCATGAGAGGTGCAGACTACGACTGTGGAAGAAATAATGCCCAAGAGGTGACTTAGAGAATTAGGAAAGTATTCCAGACAGAAAGAAAAAAATGTGAGCGAAACGGTAAGAACAGCACCTATGATCCCAGCACTCAGGAGGCTCAGGCAGAATTATTGAGAGTTGGAGGCCAGCCTGGGCTACATAGTGAGTTCAAGGCCAGCCAGGACTATGCAGCAAAACCTGTCTCAAGGACAAAAAAGAAACAAACAAACAAAAAAAAGAAAGCAAAACAGTTGTGATGCTGGAAGAGAGATCTGCTCTGATCTGTCGGTGGTTACTCTCGGAGGGGGAGGATAAGAATGAATAACAGATAATGGATAAGCATGAATGACAGACCATTGCCAAGTGTCTGAAGGTACTACCACAACCCTGTATTGCTCTTAGAAAGCCTGAAGCCTTAGACAAATAGCTTCCCCTTGAGTGCCCGTGGTTTTTAAAATTTCAGCTACTGTGCTTCGTGTTACTGGGACAAATACTTAAGGCAGACAATTCAAAGGCAGAAGGGTTTACTTTGGCTCACCACATCAGAGGTTCCAGTCCATGGTCACCTGGCTCTGTTGCTTCTAGGCCTGTGGTGAGGCAGAAATACGGCAGAGGGGCATGGAGAAGGAAAGCTGCTCCATGGGTGGGGGTGCTGGTGACAAAATGCCCCCTTCAAAGCCACACGCCCAGCTGGCTGTGGTGGCACACGCCTGTATCTCAGCACTCAGGAGGCTGAGGCAGGAGGACTCCCATGAGTTTGAGGCTAGCCTGGGATACAAAGTGCAACCCTGTCTCAAAAATCAAAAATAAAACAAAAAGCAAAAATAAAGCCACATCTCTACTGACTGGCTTCATTTAATTAGACACCCCCGCATGGTGGCACATGCCTATAATCCCAGCACTCGGGAGGCTGAGGCAGGAGGATCGCTGCAAGTTTGAGACCAGCCTGGGCTACACAGTGAGTTCCAGGTCAGTCTCAACTACATAGTGTAGACCCTGTCTCAAAAAA